CAGAAAATGAGGGACAGTTTGCTTCACTTGGTAATTTGTCCTGGTTTTAAAAACTTGTGTTTTATTTTGAAATGAATGTGTCTGGCTTTAGATTCCTGCTGTTAGTTCTTTCCTTGTGCCTGTTCCTTCTGTAGCACTGATGAGCTGACCAAAATGAGCCCTTTCCAGCTCTCTGCCCTATTTTTAAACTAAGTGCCAAGTCCTTGTACAAGTTTTATCAGTGCCATGCACTGATATAAAATAACTTCTTCATTAAGTCCTTATTTCATATCCAGGAATTACCTCTGCCCTTTTGTTGCAGTCATATACTTAGATACCTGCTAGGTTTTGACTCTCTAATTTGTTACATTAACTAAGAGGTAACACTTTGATATTCCTTATAATGTTTCTGCTTTTCATTTTTGGATGCCAACTTTTTATACAGTTTTTGTTTGATACCCTGTTCTTGTCACTGTTTATCACACTGACAATGCCACATCACTTCAAGTTTGATTAGCACTGATTTTGTATTTATTTAACAGGCCATTTAGGAAACCCAAAAAGCCTTAAAGGAAACATGAGTTTTCAAAGACAACTGTCTCACCAATAACTACTCTGAACTGCCATCCAGATCTCGATGCAATAAATTTGTCCTTTATTGCATTAAAAAGTAATATTTTTCTGTATGTGGTACTAAGTCAGTGACCTGAAAACATTGGTATGGCTATGGACCTTACCCTTGAACAGCTAAGCTTGTAGTGTCATCTCAGGTTTCTCTGATGAGACCTATTTTTCCATTACGTTTTGTTGATGGCACATAGAGCATTTGAATGCTTCATGTAATTATTAGTCTTTCTTCTGTGTCATTACTTTTCTTTGTACCATCATCTGCTCCTCCCCGCAGCTGAAGGTGTGACTGCCATGGTGAAGGTGGGTGTATCAGGGCTCGTGTGTGTACAGAAGGCTGTGCGAGGCTGTGCACAAAAGGCTGTACCATTACCAGAGAGCAGGTCTGCAAGCAGACTGGTGGCTGTTACACAGATGATGATTTGGAGGAAGATGTAGAGGTGATTAGGTAAGCTGTCCATGATTCAAAACAGGCCAGTTTTGCTCACAGTGGCTCATTTCCATCCTCTCCTTGCTGTTTAACTGAAGCTCAGTAGCTTTGAAACTGGTAGGTTTTAGGATGTCCCTGAGGAATTCTTTCAGCACCCATGCTTCCTTTCTCTGTTCCCATTCCTGCTATAGAACCTCTCGGATAAATCTTGCACATCTCAGCTTGCACATCAGCCAGATCAGCTGCACATCTCTCTCACCTGAGCAGAGTCTGAGGAAGCCTACACTGCTGCCGGTGTCCCCATCTCTTGCTGTACCACACAGGAAAAATGGGACCCCTTTTACATTTTAAATTTTGACCAGTTCTGCTTTCCTCTGGAATTTCCCTGGTCTGCCAGCATGTTTAAATTAAGCACTTCTGCTTGCTTTTTTTTTTTTTTTTTTTTTTTTTTTTTTTTTTTTTTTTTTTTTTTTTTTTTTTTTTTTTTTTTTCATTCCTAATGGTGTTGTAGCATACATCTAGTAAACAGACTTCTGCAGAAGGGAAGTTTCTTGTAACTCTGACACTTTAAACTATTAGCTTTATAAGCCATTGGTTTACCCTCTCTTAAGAGGATTAAGGCTTCTCATTTAGAGGAATATTGCCTTTGCTCCTGCAAGTGAAAACACCAAGAGYAAGGGGTCAGTGAGTGGTGGAGCAGCGTGCTGCTTGCTGTTCTCAGCGTGTGTCCAGGGTGCTACTTGTCAGGAAGGGGCTCTGTCACCATTGCATGGGGATGGTATTTGGCATTGCCATGTGTCACCGTGGGTGTATGAAAACCATAATGCAAAGGGGCAAAGAATTCGGGACTGCTTGTCCTGGGGAGAGTCACATTTACAGATAATTCCACTTCAAAATAGAGAATTGAACTTTTAGCAAATAATAATCTTTTTCTTTACAAGAAAAAATAACATTGTTCTTTGCTGGCATTGTTTCTTAGGAAGAAATCTGATGCTATGTTTTAGTTATTTCTGTATATCAGAAACAAATTTCATGCTGCACAAAGCCTTCAAGGACATTACTGCTGTCAAGTACATCATGTACCGTGGGTACATGGAGTCTCTCAGCAGTGAGTGAATGGGTAAAACACATTCAGAAAAGTCCCTCCATGTCAAGATTTTTTTTCCAAATGTTCCTTTCCTTTCCTTTCCTTTCCTTTCCTTTCCTTTCCTTTCCTTTCCTTTCCTTTCCTTTCCTTTCCTTTCCTTTCCTTTCCTTTCCTTTCCTNTTCCTTTCCTTTCCTTTCCTTTCCTTTCCTTTCCTTTCCTTTCCTTTCCTTTCCTTTCCTTTCCTTTCCTTTCCCTTTCCCTTTCCTTTCCTTTTCCTTTTCCTTTCTTGTTCACATGCTTTTCTCTTTTATTTTTTGTCTTCTGAGCTCAAATCTTTCTTATTGACAATATTGCTACCTTCATTAGAAGTGGGTTTTTGTTGTTATTTTTGGCTTGTGTATTTTTCACYGTTCTGATTTCTTGCTTTTTTGAACATCTTGTACTCTTATGGACATTGATCTTATACTGTACATTATTTGGCAGAGATTTTGTAATATTATTCCTTTCCAAGTAAATCTAATAAAATCAGAGCATTTTGCTGCAAGTATATAAAATTATATACTAGTATATAATTTATATTTATATAAGGCTCAGAATTATTCTCCAAAGAATAAAATGGAACTGTATGACTGATATTATCTGCAAATCAACTTCTACCTTTWTATTACTCAGTACATAATTATCCCAGAAATGAATTGTGTATTGTCCACAGCATGGGAGGTGGTGTTTGTGCTGTTGTAGATTTGACCAACTAAAGTGTCCCCACTGACAGCCACTGCAGGTACTTAAGTTCACAGTGGAATGAACACATTTAATATTTTTGTAAGGAGACCTAAAAATGCAAGCTGAAAGAAGAACTTTGTTTTCACTTTCAGGAATTACCTGAAATGAAACACCAGTGAAAAAAAAAAATTTAAGTAAAGTCTTTCCAGAAGTGAAGCTGTGTAAAAAGAGGGAAGCACAACAAATTGAAGGAGAACGAGCCATTCTCTTCTCAAATGCTCTGAAACAAACATTTCCCAAATTAAATTAACACCCTTAAAATAACTTGGCAACAGTCACAGTTTAATCTGCAAATTTTACTAAGTCATATATGACACAATAGTGAAATGTGACACCTCAGGTAGCTCTGACAATTTTCTGTTCTCATTCAGATCAGCTTTTTAATTTCATTTAATATAGGTGACTAAAGTTTCGGAAAGTACAGGACTTCTCATAAAAGAATATCAGTAATCATAGGTTCCATACAAGAGAAGAGAACAAATATGATGAAATACCATAGTTATTGCAGCATTCTACTGTCAATGGGAAATGCATCATTTGACACTGAACCATGGTGGAGGATTCTGGCCAACCGGTGTCGTGCTTTGTTGTGCCCTCTGTTAGAAAAACAACGCTCACAGTTGTGCTGTCAGGTGCAGTCAGCACATGGACTGCAAGGGTGTCTCTTGTGCAGCCCTTTCCAAAGCTTCAGATCTCATTCTCACTGGCAGATAGCCTTTATTTCCAGTACACTGCACAGTTCCAGTGTTCACTATGGTAATACACTTAGGGCTGGTGAAAAATCACCCATGCAGAAAGTACCCTTTTAACAAATCAGATGTATCAGGTATATGGATCATTCCCATGCAAAGAACCAAAAAGTACAAATCAGGTGTGTTCTTCAGAACAGTCCTGTGTATTTATGAAGAATGTACAGGGAAACTCTTTTTGTTGAAAACAGTAAAAAGCTGTAAGAACAGGAAGGTTTTTGAGGACAGGTCTCCACACAGCCACGTGTCTCAGCAGATGCATTTGCCAGCAGTTACCCAGAAAGCCTCAAGCTGCTGGGCCCTGCAAACAGTTTGTGCTCAGGAGCATTGATTTCCATTGTCTCTGGCAACCTTAATCTGAACTCCATTTTGCTTCCTTCTATTCAGCCTGAAAGGATAACTCATATGCACATCAGTTTTTTGCCTGTCCACAGAAAGCATGACTGACAGAAGTCAGCATTACTTTCCAGCAAGACAGTATTTTTTATAGCAACTTGCTGAAACCACTTACGTGCTAATAAAACTGAGAATTTATTTGAAGAAAAGATATGCCTGGAGATTGTGTCTGCATTGATTTTTTCCCTTGTCCCATTTCCTTTACTTACTAAAAAAGTTTACTTTATTAGGTCTGCAGGAAATAAAAAGAATCCATTCTGTATATGATTGTAATAGGGTTCAATGATGAGGCTTCTTACTTCAGGGAATCGAATTCTAGTTCTACTGGATGCATTCTCTCTTCTTTCCTCTATTCTTTCTCATGCAACAGAGCATTAATACTATGGAACAGAAAAAAAGGAAATTGCACTACGAAACCTTCTCATAAGCACTTTTTTTCTTACCATTAAATGATCACTAGAGAAGTTGTGCTGCGGTCGTTTGGATCCGTTTGTGAGGATTCCTTTTAATTAAGGAATGATACCCAGTTTTACAAAGCAGTTATTCAGTTCTTGTATATGAAATTCTATTGGACTCCTGCAATCACGAAACTCGACAGAATGTTTCTCTTGTGCCTTTTTCTTCACCTGCTCCCACATCTCTCTTTTAGAGAATTTTATTATGGACTTTCATTTTGCAAACATTTAGAGAATAGTGTAGCTCAGTTTACACGAACGGCACTCACATCAAATCCGTGCCTATGGCGTTTGCCATCTGTGTGTTAGGGGTTTTCGGTTTCCCCTGGGAACGCTCGGTAGGTATCCTTAACACGGGATTTAAGCACGATGCGCGGGATCCCCGCGCTGACCCCGCCCCTCCCCAAGCCCCGCCCCCCGCGGCTGCTGGGCGGGGCCTCGAGCCGCCGCCGCGTCCCCCCCTCCCATTGGTGGCGGGGGCGGCGCGTGACCGGGCGGCGCGTGACGTAGGAGGAAGAAGCCGCCATTAGGGGCAGCGGGGCCGCGGCCGCGGGGCAGGTTCGACTGTCGTGTCCCTCTTCCGCTTCCATCTCCGCGGCCTCGCCGGTGCCTCYCCATCCCCGCCAGCCCCCCTCCCGCTCCCCCGTGGGCCCTCGTCCCTGTGGGCGGCGGCGGCGCCGCGGTGCGGCCCGTTGATGTGAGGCGCGGCTCGGCGGCGGGGTGCGGATGGCGGCGGGGGCCGGCGCGGCGGCCGGGGGCCGCAGCTTCTCCTTCAAGGTGGTGCTGCTCGGGGAGGGCTGCGTGGGGAAAACCTCGCTGGTGCTGCGCTACTGCGAGAACAAGTTCAACGATAAGCACATCACCACCCTGCAGGTGCGGGCCGGGGCGGGGTGGCGGTGCTGTGGGGGGTCCCGTTGTTGTTCTCCCCTCACCTTGCGCACCTCCTCGGACTGCTGGCACTGCCTTGTTTACAGCTTAGCGGCAGCCGGAGTCACTGTCGCCGCTCGCTAATGGTGGTTGTCCCCTGCCGAGTTCGCTGGAAACCAGTTCTCTCGTTCTTTTCACGCCTCGGAACTAAGCTTTCAATATTTTAAGGCCTTGTTTCTACTCTGCATACTAACTGCTCCGTTCTTTTCCAGTAATGTATATGAATGTCCTCGTTTGAGTCTTGGGAAGTATTAAAAAAAAGTAATGATGTTACTGTAATCATGGTTAGTGGACTGATGACTAAGTGTTTCAAATGTGCTGCGTTTCTGTTAATCACAGTCTTCCTCGTGTTCTCATATCTTAACAGTAGCACTGTCTGAACGTTACTGTTTAAGGAGAACAGCTTTCACAAAATGGTTTATGAGATTAAGGCTTATGATTTGATAACGGGAAAGATTCTTAAGGCTTAACTGCTTGTCATGACAGCTCCCTGAATTTCGACTGGACTCTCAGTGGTACTGTCTGCTAATTTATAAAGAACTACAAAGTGATGTTTCACTGCTGAAATGTGACATGGTGCCTGCTTGAAAGTAATGTTTTATTTTCATGACCTGCTAGTTAGTGATGGATGGCATGTATGCCATGGTACAAAATAAACTGCTTGTACTGTGCACGGTCTCAGAAAACATGTTTTGAAGTCGTGTTGTGAGTAATATGCTAAGTCTTTCAGGATGTCAGCTTGCATAGGTGGAAGAGTGGATTGAATGCATACCATTCTTAATATTTTTTTTAAATAAAGAAACAAACCCTGCCACTTGCTGGACCAGTATTGGTTTTTGAACTAATTTTGAGTTTCTTGAAGTAAGAAGAAATAGTGAATGCTTTCAAAATAAGGGAGCTTTAAGGTAATTACATGCTATTCCCATGCATTTAGGGGAAGGTTCTTGCATTGTGTATCGCAGATGTAATTAATAGTGAAGCTTTCCTTTAAAACCAAAGAGGCATTATAGATGCACTAGAAACAAGACAGGGAATATTTCATAAGCAGATAATGTTGCTCAATTTTTGCTGTGAACAGGTATAAAGAATATGTTTTAGACTTTATTATCCTGTGTTCATACTCAGCTTTTGGACTGATCTATTGGTAGATTTACTAGACAAGGTATTTATGGGGAGTTAGTTGTAGCTGTATTGCCACAGAGGTAACGGATACTTGGTGTGCCACAGGGATGACTGGTAGCTAATAGCTGTCAGAAGTTGCAGCAGAAGGGTAGCATTGAGCAAACAATCACTGAAAGTGCATCAAAATTATCATGTGTAGCTGAATTCTCATATGCCATGTTGCAAGAATAGGTCTAAGTAGATTGTTAAGTGCTGAAGCTTATATTTGTTTTTTTKTTGTTCTTTAAATCTGTAGTGGAAAACCTAAAATTATAAGTAAAAAGTAGGTTGGAATATAGACTTAGGTCACAAATGTCATAAAACACATCTTTAAATTGCTCCAAAATGGTGATAGGAAAATATCTGTAGACAGAGTGGCTCAAGAGCTTTTGGTTTTGACTGTCTGGAGAGGGGTCTGTAGAGGAGTGGAGGCACGTGTTTGCAGTGCCGACTAAGATTTTGTTTCTGCACTGTAACCAGGTTTGTGGTTGCTACTTGTGTCATTTTAACTGACTGCACGTTGTTACTCAAGTTGTTTGCTTTTCTGTGCTGAGCCTCCTTGGCCACATATACATCTTGCTGATGCTAAAATACAGTGTCACTTGCTGTTGAATCGTACTGGGCATCATGTGCACTTGTTGAGCATTATCTTTACTACTTTCTTTTCTCTACATCTTATTGCTCTAGAACAAAATTGAAGTTCTTTCGTAAAATGGGAAAATAATTTAAAAATAAGGTGAAGAGAAACTAGGATATCTGATTAAGCAATGAAGTAACTTATTTGCAAAGCTTTTTTTTAAGATTAAAGACTTAATCTGATAAGGTTGCTTTGTTTCATGGCAACAGTTCCAGGTATTGCACTGAATTCCTTTTGTTCCAATAAAGCCAGAATTAAATAAATACTTTGCTCCTGGTCCAGTAAAGGAGTGACAATGATGAATCATATGAAAAGATTACAAGATACTGAGACAAGAAGCTCTCCATCCACAATATTCTCTAACGTAAGCCAAGAAAGTATTGCGTGTTTGCAGCAGAAAGGGTGCTGAGACTACAGCCTTCTGGAAACTTCATTTAGTGATGTTATTCTACTGTGAAGTTATTTTTTGTATATCCAAAGAGGAAAGTTTGGTAACAGAAGACTTGYACTAAAAGGGAGCAGTTTCTCCTCTCTCCACTCCCCCTTCTCTCAGTGCTAAGGGGARTGCACTGGAATCTCCTTTAATTTAGGAGGTTGCTGAGTTGTGTTGCTCTTGTTGTGTTAGCATCAAGTCATGTACTTAAGATATTGATGACTTGCAGGTTGAAGGTAAGGTAGCTACAAGAAAACATCTAGCTAAAATATTGTGGAAAAATTGATGCAGGAAAGGTAGGAATTTTTATACACAATGAGTATAATTCATAACTTGTTGTCAGACCTGGTGGGACAGTTAGAATTGGTTCCTATTGTTGGAAATACTGAAGTTGGTGCTCTCATCCTGATATACTAATTATAAGAGATAAATCAGTATCAAGTGAGCTGTGCTGGAATACTTCAATAATAAACCTACTGTCAAACTATTGTATTTTTTTTTCTTGGGCAGATACTTTTTATTATTTAATTATAAATAATTAAATTAATTATTTATAAATAATTATAATTATCTATATTAAATAATTTTTATATAAATAATTATTTATGTAAATTGTAAATTATTAGGATAAAAACAACTTCTGAATACTGCACTCTGAAATGTGTGGAGGATTGCAAAATATACAACTTAAGAGCTGGTTATGTTCTAGTCATAGAGTTCCTCGTTGCTTTGATGGACTTGTATAATGTGGAAAAGCTGTCTTGGCTATCAAGATAGCTGGGGGTGACTGGAAGACAATGTGAGGAAGTTCAGTGCTATATGCAGTGTTTTTATGCCTGACCTGCTTCTCTTGAACATGAACCAGTCAAGGGCAGGTGCCACACACCTGCGTTTGTCCAGTGGCTTTCAGGAGAATCTCTTCCAGCTGGGTCTTCCTTGTGTTCTATTCAAGCCCCTTTGTCAGCTTCTAACAGGGCCTGGTGRGCATGTGAAACTGAACTCTTAGAAGAAAGAATTAAAGAAAGGATTTCCTACAGCCTCTTCAAAAGACTGGAATTTTAGCTCTTATAATTGCATTATCCTTTTCTAAGTGCCTAAGTATACTTCAGACCTGTCATAAGACAGTAGAGTCAAAATATGAAAATTAGAAGCTTACTTCAAAGAGTTGTTTGAAATTACTTATCTTTGATTTACCCKCGTTCCTGTATATTTGTGAGTTTTTGAAAGTCTGAGCAAAAATGACCTGTCAGAGTAATTAAAATACAGGAAAGAGTTGCTGAGTCACARGTAAATCAAGTCACAACTCGGACTGGAAATGACAGTGCTCAATTCAGTACATTTTTGGGAAATAAGAGCAAACGTTGAAGCTTTTTCTGTATCTAATTGCCTAACAAGCTGTAGACTGTTTTGATTTCAAAGGCTTTGACTTTGAAACTTGGAAAACTTTAAAATCTTGTCTACTGACATTTTCTCTAACCCTTCTCAGAATGGAAGTTAAGGCTCTTTCTTGTGTGTTGRGTTTTCCCAAATTTCTAAAAATTTYAGTTCTTTTGTTCACCTAATTTTTCCCCTCCCTTACTATGTTCAGAATGGCTGGGGAGGGGTATATGTGTTTAAAAAATTAAAATATATTAGTTGATTTGTCTTTGGCATGTTTGCACTGTGGATGTAAAATGTATTTTATTGATGGTAAATGCACTGAACTTATTGATACATTCTAATTAATGAGTAGAACCTGCTAATTTTATTCTTCAAGTAGAGAAACAAAATCAAGAAGAATGAAGCACTAAATCTGTAATACAACATTGATGGTTTCTTGGAGCATGGTCATAAAGCTTTCTGTTCATTTCCAGCCATGACTRCTTCAAATCCCAGGTTCCAATCCTGTTATCAGACAAACATGCTTGTAATTAGGATATCTGGTAGAGGATACTGTCTGTCCTTTTTTGATTACAGGCCTAAGACTTCAGATAGACTAAAACTTGATCATTACAAATTGATTGAGTTTTAATTCAGAGAACAAGTGCAATCRCCCAGTGCTAAATACCCTTGCCACAGTCTCCTGTGGTTATGGATATTCTTGCAAGAGATACTAAAAAGCCTTACTTGCATGTAGGAGTCTTCTAATAGAGTATATAGAGAATGGAATAGTCTCTATCTTAATGATAAAAGACAGTATTCCTGTCAAAAGCCATAGTACCTGAAGGACAGATTATATTGAAGTGAAACTTACCTATGTAGATAAACCTACTTTAGTTTCTGGTCTGTCAGAAAGGAAATAYACTTGTGCTATTAATTGGGTCACTGTCTAAAGCTACAATGATAYAACTTTATGGATGCTGAGTTCTCTGGGTTTTTAAATACAGATCCCCTTCCTATGAAAGATTTTTCTGTTCAGAAATTGATTCTCAAACACTTGTGTGAAACATGTCAACTAAGCAGGTTTGGATTGTTGGTGTCATGGCGAAAGCAAACAGTGCTCAGAAGAGCTTTTCCTTTAAGAYTTGCAGTAGAATATTGAGTACTGTAGTGCAGCAGATCAATAAAATATTGTCAGGTAAACTCGATTCATTCTGCCTAACTATTTTTTCACCATGTGGCCTAAATGTTGGTGAATTAAAACTTCTGAAGTTGCCTTTAATCTTTTGGTATTTAAACTGTAATGAAGTAGAACAAATTGTGAMTACTACTGATGAGTTAATCCTCAGGAGCAGCTGTTGAAAGCCATCAGCTTCTGTAGAGCTTTTCATTTTTTAACTAGAAGTTTTCTCATGTTGAATGTTTGCTACTCCTCAGTTAAGCTGTTTGTCACAGGTTGATTAGAGAGTCAAATCCATTTAAGRTGCTGTCTGGAAGTTTTTCCAGACTTTTGACTTCTGTCCCCTCACAGTAGACTGAGGGAGTAGCATAGTGTTCATGCTTTAGTTATGTTGAACCCAAGGTTTGTAGTGATTAGTTCTTTGCTATCTGCTCTGGAAAGTCTCTGAGTGTTTTTCTGCTGCTCTGTTCTCTCTCTCTCTCTCTCTCTCTCTCTCTCTCTCTCTCTGTCTCTCTGTTCTGTTCATCAGATTTCATGAAAAGCTTTGGGGGACGCTACAACTACAAGATGAAAAGGGTTTTTGTAATCATCTCACCTTAGGTCATACCAATGCCAGAGCCAATGTTAGGAATGTAGCTGAAGAGCAGGAGCTGCTCTAGCAACTGAATACTGGATGACTAACTGTAACACAGGCATTACTCCACAAAGGCACTTTCGGCAGCAGTTTAGGCTGGGGTAAATTGAGCTATTGTGGTCTTATGGTTGCTTGTGTAGTTAAGCAGCAAGCTGGTTCAAGTAGCTTGTCTGGCCCATCACACTTTCAACACGTGTGACTCTTGGTTCTGTGACTGGGTGCTCATACAGAGAGCCCCCTTGAGATGCTACAATCCAGCCTGAAATAATTTGTGATGAATGTATCATAAAATAACCTCTGATTACTAGTTTGAACCCAAATGCAAGTTGAGGTAAAACAGAAAGGAAAACTGRCTATTAATTAAGGCAGAAGACAAAAGTTAGCCCTTGGCAACTGAATTACTTGGCAACTGTTACTGCTAGTCTTAAGAATGGGGGGAGCAGGTTCCTGATGCATCAGCACCTTCAGATGCTGTTCTGGTCCATTAAACTTGTATTAAATTATATTCCCTTTTTAGCCATCAAATTACAGACTTGGTAACAGAGGTGGTGTTTGAAAATGTGAATCATGCAAGTTCRGAGAAAACCAGATCTACTCAAGTTACTGAAATTAGATTAACCTTGCAATGTGTTCTGGTCCTGTAAAACATTTCCAGAAGTTAAAGTAGTGGAATTCTAAAGCAGCTTGTATGCTTATTCTGAGGTTTTTCAGCTCAAACAAACTAACAAAAACATAGAACTGAAAAGCAGATGGGGTTAAGTTGTGGGCTCACTTCAACAAAAAAAAGGGAAAAGACACAGACAAGGAAACTTGTGAATACTAATGTTCTAAGATACTTAGTGATAAATTCAAACTATTATTTTTTGTTCTAGTAGCTTTCTACTAGTGAACTATGTTGCCTAATTCCTGCAGATTAAGAATCCTGTTAGGCTGGTTCTTACCCAAACTTCACATACTCTTGTGAAATGCTTTGAGTTAGGTTTAGACTTATCAGTGTTGTGGATTTAATGCTTTCCACACCCCCCATCCTTCCCAAATCATTCAAAACAGCAGCAAAAAGATGTAGTAAATGATTGATTTAACCCAAATTTATTTAGAATAGGCTGCTGGCAAACTGTACTGGCTTAGTATTAATGTAGCCTTCTTGCTTACAGAGTCTTTCAATATAGAAATTTGTCTTTTATTGATTTTGATTTTTTTTAATAGATTAATCTGAAGTCAAATTAAATGTTTGGTATGTAAAACTTAACTCTAATCTGTTTTGTTTTCCAGGCATCTTTCCTTACAAAGAAGCTAAATATTGGTGGAAAAAGAGTAAACCTTGCAATATGGGTATGCTTATGTTCCTAGTTTTTTTGCCCTTTGCTAAATAAAATATTTTTCTGAACAAAAAATTGCTTTAGGCTTACTGTATCTCAAATGTTTGGCATTCTTAATAAAGTAAAATTTWAAATATTTGGAGTTCCTTGAAATATTGTTTGCTTTGTCTTAAATGCTAACAATTGTATTTTAAATGCAGGATACAGCTGGTCAAGAAAGATTTCATGCATTGGGGCCTATCTACTACAGGGACTCCAATGGCGCTATTCTAGTATATGATATAACAGATGAAGACTCTTTTCAAAAGGTACTGGACAGCTTTTATGTCTGAGATGTAAACTAATTGAAAGATCATCTGTAATRTGTAAACAGAGGTCTTCTGTTTTCAGTAATATATATTTGCAAATATAGATCATGGAATGGAGGCATATACCTTATTAGTACTCTTTTAAGGACTGTCTTCCCTACTATCAGGGTTATGCAAAAAACACCAATACATGATAGTGGAGACATTACCTTCTCTGTGATAAGTTACTTGTCCTTCAAATCCTCATCAAAACATGAAATTTGATGGTTAGTTATTTTATGGCTATATTCATTGATCAGTTGGTTAGGTGAGTTTTTTCACCCTGTGTCAAATCTGTGGTATCACTCTATAGGGTGTTTCAGCTGAAAACAGGTGACACTCTTTTCTAAGCAGTGTCTTTCTTTCTAAAGTTTTGTCTCTGATTAGTTTTTGGCAAAACCATTTGGACTTGTAGAGAGAAGTGAGAAATTGTGGTTGTATGGCAAGGCTTGAGTTAGCAATGGTAGAAATAGTAAAGGTACAGTTCGAAACCTTAACTAATTTAGTTTGGTGTAGGGCAAAGTAAAGCATTTGTGCTAGCAGTTAAACATTTGCCCCCACCTGCAGACTGGTGATGATTTGTAATACTTCAACTAGTGCCTTTTCATGCTGAGSCCTACTTAGTAAAACCTTGTGATATCAAAACACTTCTGTAAGTTAGCCTTTCCTCTTTTTCTTATTGCAGAAGTACTACTGTATCATGTAGTCTGTTTTTAGATTTTTGAGGTGATTGCTCTCTTCACAATTATTCCCTTAAAATAGCAGGTCCTAAGTCAATGCAGTGATTGTACAACTTCTAAAGCATGACAACAGATTTAATAACAGATACCTTACCTTAGATGATTCAACATGCTTGTCCCTTCTGTTCTCTCAGGAAACAAACATSTGTTTTAAACTAACCTGAGAAATTCAGTTCAGGTGCCTCTACTTTTAAAGTACCATTTGTGATCTGTCAGTAAATGCCTGTTGATAAAAGATCTCATGTCTGATCTAAGGTGGACTTTTGTTCTTTGGAGTGGGGCTAATGTGAGTGTGGTGAGTTATATTTCTGGAGTAATTGATCATCTTAATCTAMGTCATTTGCTCTTAATGTCACCTGTGAAGTAAAACCTGCTGAACAAGAGCCATGTGTAGCTATCTAAAGAACATTTTTCCATCTATGTTGCTCTAAATGTGTTTGCTTATGGTTCAAGTAGATGGTTARTGAAGGAAATGTGATGGTTCTGCATTGCCGAGATTAGTAGTATATCAAGTGAAAACAAACTCATCTCTTTTTTTTTTTGCAGGTAAAAAACTGGGTTAAGGAATTAAGAAAAATGTTGGGAAATGAAATCTGTTTATGTATAGTAGGTAAGTCTTTTTCAACATAACTGAATTGGAAAGATCTCTTTTGATTTATAGCATTTTCCAGATGCTGCTTTGACAGCTTGTACCTGTGAAATTATTCTAATCTTCAGTTAGGTATTTAAAATTAAACTGGAGCTAAAAGTTTCAGTAGATCACATAGAGGAAAAAAGGAGTTTGATTGAAAAAATAAGCTGTTTAATTATGCACTATTGGAAGTGCATGGTACAGACACCTGAAGATTAGTTGAACAAAAAAATGTACATTATCCTTCTTTTGAGTACTCAAACTCAAAAGTTTTTACTTCTCAGTGGCATAGACTAGGTGCTTGTCTGTTTTCATACCTAAGTGCTTGCAGGTTGGAGTGAGTCTTAAAGCTTGGATATTTCAATACAAATGGAATGCAACAAATGCTGGGTTTAGATTTAAATCTGATTAATTATTAAAACATATCCATGAGATGAGATGTGTGGACATTCTACAAAAACTACCTCTGCAGCCCACGGAAGGTCCTAATAAATTACAAAAGAAAAGCAAAAGGCTGAGTTGGTTGCCTTATATGGATGCATTTAGGTGTCCTGATCTCTCTACAGAAGAAGCACTTCATCCTCATTGTCTCTAAATGCTTATGTGAAAAGAAATTCTCAAACCATACTGTGATTGAAATTGAGATCTGTGTAAGAGCTGGTCTTTGCTGGGACAGCTTGGGAGACTGGAGTACTATGGTTACATGTTTGCTTTCTTTTTGGATAATTTTGGAGCACAAAGGCTTAAAAGATTAACTTGTTTCCAACAGGTAACAAAATAGACTTGGAAAAAGAGAGACATGTTTCAGTGCAAGAAGCAGAAACGTAAGTCTCACCAATTACTAATAGAAACAGTCATTGCAAAATTATGCTGGAGTAATAAACTCGTGATGCTGTTAACATAGCAGCCAGCTAGGCACTGCTGGCTAACGCATGCCAATTGTTAAGTGTTCTGTTAGTATCTCAGTCACAGGGTGTCCTGGCTGACAGAACTGTAGCTTTAGAGTTGTATGGGATTAAAGTCAACCTTTGCAGTTTAAATCCATTTCTAGACATTACATTTTCTTAATTTCATCCAGTGTGTTGCATCACACACATCCTGGCAGTTTTAAATTGGTTTTTTTTTTGCATTAAATCAGCATGTGTATAACTGTAAAGTCAGAATAAAACCTTTTGTGATCATCTTATTCCTTCTTGTAAAGTGACTTAAAAAGATTGAGTCCTTTACTACAGTGAAGTTCTGTATCTGCATTTCTACAGGTATGCTGAATCTGTTGGAGCAAAACATTATCATACGTCAGCTAAACAGAACAAAGGAATTGAAGAACTGTTTCTTGACCTTTGCAAAAGTAGGTATTACCTAGTTTGTTGGTAAAGAGCTCATTCATAAAATGCTCAGGTTCCATGCTTTTAAGGCCTTATAGAAAAGCTTTACTGTAAACTGCTCCTTAGAACTGACTTAATTTCAGTTTACTTCAAGCCACTTGAATTTGTACTGTAACAGCTCTGAAAGCTTGGTGTATGTATGTTTACCATATTGCAAATTCATGCTGTACTCCAAAAATATCTGTCATTTGTTGGAATACTAACTGCTGTTCCACTTACCATGCATAAGTAATAACCCAAATCGAATTTCACGTTACAGGTCTCACCACTGCTTGCTTCAAGGCCTTTTTTTCAAAAATCTGCTCAAATGTCAGTTACAAATCATAAACTCAAAGTTGTAATGATGCWAATTTTACACAGCAATCTAAACCAGTGGTAGAGATCATGGTATGTGGGATGGAAAGGCAACACTTGCAAGTCATCCTAGTTGTGTTCCTGTGATAATAACTTAAGGAAAACATATCCTGAATTTCTGAAGAGTTGGTTGGAGATTTTTTGGTTTTTTTGGGGGGAGGGTGGAGTTTATTTTTTTTTTCTAACAGTGCTAATGATAGGGATGGGTAAATCTAGCTTTTGAAGTTGCTAACTCCAGGACACTTGAGCATCACTGAGGTCTTTCTTAGTTACAAGGAGCTGCTGGATGTTTGGTGCTTTAAAGAATGATTTAGCATGTTCTTGCAGCTATGCCATGTGATACCTGAGTATTTAGTTCTGCATAACAGGAGAACCACTCTCACTGAACTTTGTGCCTAGAGTTCAGATAGATTAAGACATCAGAGTCTTACGTAAAAATGCAATGGAATGTCACCTAATACACTTCTTTCTTTACAGGAATGATAGAAACTGCTCAAGTGGATGAAAGAGCAAGAGGCAATGGCTCCAGTCAGTCAGGAACAGCAAGGCGAGGTGTACAGATCATCGATGATGAGCCCCAAGTACAGAGCAGTGGAGGGTGCTGTTCTTCTGGATAATTATAAAACTGTGCATCACTGCCCTCTCAATATGAAGACTGCCATATTCCAAGTCACACATTCTTTACCAATGGAGTAATAGAATTAACAGTATTTAAAAATAATCACATGTAACACTGCAGAGACCTTAAGTGCTAAACTAGTGGTGTCTGTGACCAGAGAATTGGCGTTTTCTACAGTGGTTAACAAAGCAATTACCAATGGCCTTTTTACATATTTTTCTTTAATGAGGAATAATATGCATGTAGAAAAGACCTACTTAAAGGCTTCATTTATATTCTTTTAAATCAGATCATTATTTAATAACTTATATACATTGTTGTTGGAATGGTATACGTTTTTGCAGCTCTTTGTATTTTGTGGTAGACGGAACTGTATCACTTCTAAAATGCAAATTGATTTTTTTTTAAATTAGCAGATATCTGAAGTAATATTTTTGCAGGGCCTCCACAAGCCTATAACTCAACTACTTTGATATATTCTGTTCATCTGTATGCCAAGCTGATAAAATACATTGTAAATTACATATTAAATATTTTATCTGCTTTTACAGTGCAGGTGCAGAAATATGTACATCAGTCTTGTCAGTGATTGTGAAGTTAATAAGTCAGTGAAAGATGCAAGCTTTTCATGTGTATTGTTGAATTGCTCATTCTATTCCCCTACCTGAAAACAGCTTTGTTTTGGGTACATCCATAGCTACAGCCATCCTTTAATCCATTTCTGGCAAGCAGCAGTATTTAGAGTATMCCCTTACTGTAAGAGAATGCTTATGTAGACTGCTGTTTAACATTGAGGTGTTTGACTCCCAGCTAAAACAGTTGGTGCATGCACATACCTTGCCTCTGCAGTTACTTTGTCCTCCCAGAAGAGATCCCCAGAAAGTCAAAGCAAATTTGGCCCTCATCTGTCTGGTAGCCAGTAAACCAGATGCATGGGAAACTCTTTAGCTGCTTTAATACATTTGTTTCCAAAGATAGCATTATAAACTATTCATGAGCATATTTTTTTTTCTCTGCAGGGTTTAAGTGAAAAATTAATTGGCATTAACTAGAACTGCTTCTACTTTGGAGTGATTAAATTGAAGATGTGAAACTTGCCAGATGTAGCTGTAACTTTGGGGTTTCTAGGCAGAATTGAACTTATTTCCAACTTGCTCTTTCTCTTGTAAAGCATTTTGAAAAAGCCCACTTAAGTTTGAGGAGGAGGGTTTTCAGAAAAAAATGTGTAAACTACTATCACAAAAGAACACAAATGGTGGTAGCTGAAAGTTTAAAATGTTTTGTGCTCTGACTTTTTTTACTTGTCATGCTTGGAAAAACAGTAAAGGTGATGTCTATGACAAAGTAGAATATCCTTGGCCTTCCTTTTTCTGAAAGGTAGATTTAGTATTGCATATGAAATGCACTGAATGGTGTGGGTATGTTCTGATACACAAAAAGAGTAGTAGTAATGAATTAGTCTGTGTAAGAGAAGTGTGCTGTCTTCAATCTGATTTTTATTTTCTCTGAAATAATAGATGGCTTTGATACAGACTTATCCTGGTGCATTTTCTCCCTTTTTGCCTTAACTGTGGTGTAGATACTTTTTCTTAGACTACCGTTGCTATGCCCTTCTGACATGTTGGTACGTACGATGAAGAAAGGTGGTTTGTCCATGCTAGTGAAGATAAAGTTTCTTGGCTGCACAGAGCTTTGGTGTGAATCCAAAATCCATGATTGTATGTGTCTATATGTAGCAACGCTGTTAACATTCACATATCTAACAACAATGAGCTTTGATGAAGTTGAAAACCAGGTCAGTTTGATCTAACACTGATATCTGACAATCAGCCTTGTAAGTGACACAGTATTGATATGAAGAGTGAAATTGGGAAGTCTTGATGTTCAAGAATGGAATCTCCTCAGAACAGGAGTTTTAGATCTTTTTATTTAATTTTTTTTCTGTATCTGCAAATAAAACCCCAAACAGCCCAACTTCGACTAGACTTAGTTGAAGCAGTGTGTAGAATGTATCTTTCTGGCTGCAGCTAAAGAGTTTTTAGTGTATTCTGTGGTAGAGGCATCCCATGTGACTCCTGGCAATTATGAAACTAACAGTGGCATGTTGATACTAGCTCTTTAGTCTCTTACAGAATAAAAACTATTACTACTGGAAACTTAGAGGGGGATAAAGAAGTCTATAATTTTGTAATACTAAAAAGGTTCTGGTTGCTATGAGCAAAATATTTTTTTAAAACAAATTCTCAAGTTACTTTTCTTACTTAAGCTATGACATAAAAACTCACTGGAAACCTTCCTGTCTAAGCTGTGGTTTGGTTGGACTTTATTTATGAAACTTAAAACCTGTGTTTTGCACAGATATCATTATAGAACCTTACAAAAGTATAGCTTTGTGAAATCAGGGAAGATAGTTTTCAGGACAGAGGTGAAAACATTATGAATTGTTTAGAGTGATTAACGTAAGACGTCTATTCATTTTTTAGCAACAAAATACAGCAGTTCCAGGAAAAAGCATCTTTGTCAAAGATACTGAGAATGTTCTTTGCACTTGATATAGAAAAAAGCACACATAGCTTGGTTTTCTATATTTGAGCAGGATCTTACTCAAGTGAGCCGATGTTACTAGGTTGGTATTACTAACCTACATTGCTTGATTTGTATGTCTGAAGAACTGTTCTCTTGTTGCTGATTTGTGTGGCTGTAAACAAGTCATCTATTTCTCATTCTTCTGAGAAGTGAAAGAGAACAAGGCTGTCTGTCTTGAGAAAGTACCTCTATTGTGGGACAGATAGAATCAGCCAGACACCCGCTACAGCATGTGTAAGTCAACAGTGAACACACTTCCTCGGGGTATATCTTGACAATGATTACTCACATACATACTAAAAATGGTCTAACTTGCTACAAAGGCCCTTCTAAAACAACGTTTAAATGCTTGCTCGAGGTCTTGATGCTGCTATTATGAATACACAAGCTACCTATGAAACTTTGTCACTTGATGAAATAAAATCCAACAAACCAAAGTTCAACTGCTTTAATGTAGCAGTATGTCTGTCTGCTAGGAGTTATTTATGAACACTGTATACTGCACTTGGACTTTAGTTCAGAAGCTATAAGATCAGAGAGACTGATTCAGATGGGGACACTCATAAATTCAGATGTGTAGTACTTGGTGATGAGTGTGACTAGCTGCAGAGACTGGGGGAGATGACTTCATCTGTTGAGCAGTGGTCTTGCACATGATCCCRAAATGAGACTATCCAGTGTCCAGATGAATTGTATGGGATGGTGTCTTGAAGCAGTCAAATAAATGTTACCTTCTTTATATTACATTCTTTACTTCAGTATTCACAGGTTGTGGACAAGTATTCTTGTGACCTGCCACATTGAAAAGTATCCCTTAGCCCTTTTTATCCTACCACTTTTATTCTTCTTGTGTTTAACTTGTATCACTGCCTACAGGTTTTAAAGAACTTAGTAATTAAATTTCTACTTGGGTTTCCAAACCAAATGAAACAAGCTTTGCAGAAAGGTATGAAGTCATGAAAAGCGGTTAGATCTCAAATGGAGTTCTGAAAAAATGTTGGATGCTGTCAGAAATAAAGAGTTTAAATGCAGGTCAGAAATCTCCATAAGCTGAAAGCAGTTAAGTGATATGAATAGTAAAGTATGAGAATAAGAGTTGGAGCCAGCCACCTCTCATTTTTCTGCTTTTAGTAAAATGAAAAGAATGTAGGAAAACCTGAGGTAGTAAGATGCTGAGTTAACCCTTTCTCTGAGTTGCCAGCAAGTCTCAGCAATGGCAGTACCTTATTTAGTACTTCTAAGATCACTTCCTGGACTGTTTTTACTTTTGTGTAATATCATTTTTGCTTCATTAAAGAGAATATAACTAACTGTGAGCAGGCTTTCAGGCACAATACTAACCTACTTAAAACATTTATTAGAATATTTATGAACTTTTTACATTTCACTGACTTTGTTAATCTTAGTCTGCATCAAATCATAGAATGTTTTTCCTGACAAGTCAGAAAGTGTATCGTGCTATGAGGATAAGTCTTACTACAGTTGTTTTAAGGAGTTACAGATGATGAGCAAGGTCCTTAGCACTTCTTGCTGTGCAAACTCACCAAGGTCCCAAACTGAGCTCACTAGTCCTTAACTGTGCTGGGCACTTGCTCCTGCTACTCTTTGGAGGATTCTTCTGAACACCAGGGTTTTCCTTCTATGTTGGCAAGCCTGTACATCTCAATGATGTAGCTGTCTAATAAATTTAGGCTATTTTTATCAAATAACAATATACCCTTTGCTCCTTCATTTTTTTTTCACCTGTCATTGGCCCCTGTATTGAGCAGAATGAGATGGAAATGGTTTTGAGAGTTGTGAAGAATCTAGAATGTTGTCTTGAGATGGCTTGAAAAGTGCATCTATGAAAATATCACCATTATGACAAAGTATTGTTCTGTCCAAGWTAAAAGAAAAAAGTTGGGCTTGGAGAAATTTTTACTGTCATCTGATTAAAATGATAAATTGCTCTACTTTGAAAATGAAAACTAATTTAAAGATCATGTGTCTAGTCTTAAAAAAAAATTAAGACTTCAATTTACCTAACTTGGCCAAAGCCTTAAATAGATTGCCATATTTCACAGCCATAAGCTAAAGTTTGATTGTTGGGAGGAACTGCATACTTGTTCATATTCCACTGGCCAGTTTAGAGCTTAGATGGTGTTTATTCAATACCAAGATGTTGAAAGATAGATTAAAACAACTCTTTTTGCTATCTATTTTCCCTGCTTTTTACAAGTAGCATGGACCTGATGGAGCCGCAGGGTCACTGTGAAAAGAGGCTTCTCTTTCTCTTCCTGCTTCTTGGCTGCATTGATCCTTGTTGCCAAATTACTGCTACAGCAAACTTTGGGTGCTGTGCAAGAAAGGAAGTGCATGTTCTCTCCTTGCTTCTCTAKCTCTTCCAGACAGTGATAGGCACTACAGCAGTAATACCCAGTTTCTCTCAGTTTGAGAATATTCTTTTCCTCAAGAGGAGCTTTTCTTACATCTTGATAAGTAATTTTTTTTCAGTGTGTCTAGTCTCACCCATCCCTCAAAGGGGTTTTAGTTCTGCATTGTAGGTTGCCCAAAAGATGCTCAGTTTGAAAGCGTGACGAGGAACGATGATGAATAGCAGTTTTACAACAGTTTTCCCTGGTCATATCCCATCTCCAAAACAGTGAAGAGAGGATATTGGAAGTTCAGTGGTGAGTCCTTGCCACCTCTGTATCTGACTCTTGATTCTTGGATATTGGAAGTGACTTACATGAAATTACAGTTGAGAGTATTCCAGGGAGCAAGAATACTTCCACATTTGTTGCAAATGGTTGATATCCTATGACAGATCCAAACTCACGTTTTTGAACTGTTGAAACTGTTAAATTGCAGGCCCTACAAGTTAACCATCTCTCCATTCTGAAAAGTTGACAAATTTGGGACTTGCAGTGGAAGAGAACAAGTAGTTTTTCTTTCAGAACAGGAAACTTAAAACTGCCTAATCAGGCTTGTTTTAGTAAAAAGAGAAGAGAAAAGCATGTGATACCTAAATCTTTAACTGCTGTCAGTGCTATTTGATCATACAGGCATTATAATGATTGTCTTACTGGATTTTTCTCATCAGATAAGCTCATTGAGCTTATCAGTCTCCCTCAAATAGAAAGAAAACATTAGCAAGGCAAAAGCCAATGCTGAAAAGGATGCAGCATTTTTAGTGTCAGGTAACATTGTCAAATGTTGTAGGAATATCCTGTTTGGTATTTGTGGATAAAAAGTTTTGTAAAAACATTTAAAAAAATCTGTTAGAGGCTTCATGAGTGTTAACTTGCCCAGTGCATTTCTGCAGCTGGAGTTCTTAAATACAGCTTGATGTATTTTATATACCAGTGCATTTACAGAAGGATAGTCTTGTCATAAATTAATTCCAAATAGTCAATCAGCTATAAAAATAGGATTTTTTTTTATCATGACTGTTGGTTCATCAGTGCCTAATATTAAAAGTGATAATGCATGGAGATGGATCAATAGTGAAAAAAAGGTKTGCTGAAAATCAATACAGAAAGAAAACATTGTCACTTCTTACATTTACAGAATGTTATGGAATTTGAAACTTGATGACAGTCTGTAATAAACTGACCCTGAAAAATACTGGAAATTTGGGGCAGAGCCTGAGACCACAGTTTTTTTATGTTACACATACAATATTTCTGAACCCACCTGAGCATGATGTGACAAGACATGGCTTTAAGATGTCAAATCAGGCACACTGAGGGTTTGCTTCTAATTGTGCTAGCATATGCCCCAGAGACTGTAGTGTGAACATATCCCCAGTCAAATATACCTTTGGTTCTCAACACTGGTCTTTGGCATCTCAGAACTGAGGAAGGAGCAGTTGCTGTTGAACCACATTTATGTTTAATATTAGCCTCAGGGATGCTGCCTGTATGCAGCAGAACAAAGTGAAACATGGAACCAAGGCTAAG